AATCTGGGACCTGGGACTATGTTGGGTCAATCTGGGACCTGGGACTATGTTGGGTCAATCTGGGACCTGGGACTATGTTGGTACAATAGACCAAACAGGGATGGAAAATATGTGTTGGGAAATGGGGACTGGGATTCCTCAACAGCATGACCTGATAGAGACACAAACTATGAGGAAGACTTCAAAAAGCATCAGGGCTGGAGTCTGCGAGAGGCGAACGCGGCGGATGGTTGTTCTGTGAGCTGGTAGAAGGCAAGATTCAGGAAACGAGAACAGAAGTTGTTACAAATGACCGAAGACGGTCCTTTGGGACATCCGTTAAAATTGGAACGATACGGACACTAAAGATTATTAGCATGGCCCCTGCGCAAGGATGACACGCATAAATGGAGAAAAAAATAATCGTACAAATGACCGAAGACAGACATCATAAAACCACAAGTACATGGCCCCAGCCTTGCAGTGCGGAAACTTGTCCCCACAAGACAAACGAGGCCGAAAGGTCTTATGCTGGGCCCACCGTCGATAAATTTGATCGGCGGTCGCGTTTTCGTTTCGCGCCTCCAGAGTTTGAGGTGTCAGGCCCGCGGCGGAGGCGCCCATGTACTGGTGCTTTAAGTGACCGCCGACCAGTACTGGAGTTGAGCCAGACGCTAAGAGGGGTACTGAATTATCGCTGGTGGCCTGCTGCCGAAAAAAACTCAACTATGGTTACCGAACCCAGTGTTGGTTAGTGCATGGTGTTTGGAGAAAGAACCCAGAAATTTGTGCGCGATGGGCCCAACAGGAACCTTGTGCGACGGGCCCAATGGAACCTTGTGCGATGGGCCCAACTGGAGGACAGCACGATCCGCAAAACCGCCATTACAATGTGCAGCAACTGTTCTTTGTTTCCGGAGCCTTACCGCAGGGCAAAATAATGTCGATGTTTGCGCTCACAAGAGTTAAGTTTTCACTCAAGTTGGAAAGTTTTTTCCTCGAGAAGAAGAGGTTGTGGTCAGATCTGCACCGATCGATCAAGGCTGTGCACAACTGGATTTCTGGAAGTGGATGAAGATGATGGTAGCTAGCTTTGTGTGGCACATGTGTTTTGCATGGGCCCATGAAGTGAATGCTTTGCGCTAAGGATGGAGCGCTAAGGATGGAAGGAACATAGACTTCAGTGTACAGTATTGTTCCACCGGGAGAGTTTGGTATAGCTTGCCCTGTGGAAATGGCTGTGTATATCTATAGAATATACTCAATTAGAATGGCTCAGTCACAGGCTGCAGGAGCAGGTTGGAACGTATGTTGCATGTTTGAGGGCACAGAGAGAGAGAGAGAGAGAGAGAGAGAGAGAGAGAGAGAGAGAGAGAGAGAGAGAGAGAGAGAGAGAGAGAGAGAGAGAGAGAGAGAGANTGGTTAAAGGACCACAGAAAAAAAGGCTCTAGGGGGGTTGATTTAAACCCCTCTAAACCCCCTTTTGGAAACCATAATGTGGCTAACTGTGGGTTAACTTTGGGAACTCTGGTTAAAGGACCACAGAAAAAAGGCTCTAGGGGGGTTGATTTAAACCCCTCTTAACCCCCTTTTGGAAACCATAATGTAGCTTAGGGTGGGTTTGAGAAAAGATAGCGCATGTAAATGTATGGTTACCTCAGTGGATAAAGTGTTGCTGCTGGTTCTTCTTAACTCGCTGCCGGCTGTGGGATTTTCCTGTTAGGTGAACTTCCTTCTCTACAGTAACTCTGGTTAAAGGACCACAGAACAAAGCTCTTAAGGTGGTTGATTTAACACCCTGTAAACCCCTTTTGGAAACCGTAATGTAGCTAACTGCGGGTTTGGGAATGGGTAGCACATGTACTAAATGTATGGTTAGGCTCAGTGGATACGAAGAGTGCTTGTACTTGGTCTGCCAGCCTCGCTTGATGTGCATGCATGTACTTGTCCAGAGAATCGGTCAGATTCAGCACCCACTATGCGATCTTCCCTCCATCTTGGGACTACCAAAAGGATTAGGGTTTCTGTCTGCTGCTGGAAGTTCGACCTGACCTGGGTGGCTGATCCCAGGGACATATGCGCAACACTGACATGTTTCAGGGGCAACGGCGTAAAACTTTGTGACTCTTTTGAGGGACACTCCAGTAAAGTTCTCACCTGCTTGACATGGTCCAGGGGTAATGTGGTTCAAAGGAGAACCTGCTTTTTTTTGCTTGCCCCGAGGGGCAAGTACGTAAAGCTGGCTCAACCAGATTGCGTGCTCCAGGTGCAAACAGTTCATAGCCACGCCCACTTCATATGTGCTGGGCTGGGGGCGAGGAGGTGGAGCCCCACCTGTTTCAGTCGTCATCCCCTGGGGGCAAAGAGTTGTGGCCTCAAAGCACATACCGACGTGATAGTACTACACCACGTTCTCCATGCGCTCTTCGAACGCGCAGCTTCTTCTCTGTCTGACCCGTTGTTCATCAGGACCTAACGTTCTCCTCTCCTGAAGGGTCTTGAGAGCCCCCCCCCTTTCTCTTCGGCACCCTATCTTCTCTCCACGAGCTGTCATAAGTAGAGGAGGGAAGTCAGACGCAAAGCATCTGGACTCGATAAGTGCAGTTCGTCAGCATCGGCATACTTCTAGCACGTCCCTCATGTCAACAGCATGCAGTAGCTCAACAGCATGCAGTAGCTGGCGTAGATGGAGTCGGTGAGTTCTGGTTAAGGGAAGCCAGTGCTTGACCTGCCGACCCCTCCCTGCTGCTCCCCCCCTTTCCCCTTCTTAGGGTCCACCACTGATTTGCGACTATGGTTTACGAAAGTCTGTAGTTCTCAGCCATAGGCTACATAGCCGCAAGCTAGCTGCGCTGAAGAGAAACGTAGGAAACGTAGACACAGGACGAACATGGGGTTTGCAGAGCTGCAATGTGACGAGACAGCGGGTCACGCAGAGCTGCAATGTGATAGAGCCCAAATGATGGAGATAGAGCTCTCCTGTAGGTGCTGTGGGTTGCAGAGCTGCAATGTGACGAGGAGGCGGGTCACGCAGTTGCTGCTCACAGAGGACGCTCTGGCTCCATCAACGTCGAAGGCAAACATGTCGGGTGATGATCGTCCTTTTGAATTCAATTGCCAGCATCCATAATGTCAGAGTTGATTGCGTCAGTTCTTGGCGGCCAGAGGAGCGTTGTGCCTCGGGCAACGTTTGCAGCATGTGCATCGATCATCCACTTGATCAGCAACCAGATCAGCAACCAGATCAGCAACTCAGCTCCAGAGGGCATTGGACGATGTAATCTGGGACCTGGGACTATGTTGGGTCAATCTGGGACCTGGGACTATGTTGGGTCAATCTGGGACCTGGGACTATGTTGG